GGGGGGGGGCGCAAGCTGGCAAAGCTTGGGCAGGAAGCAGGTCGTCGACACCTGCGGGAACTTAACAGTTTGGTCTCCTCGGTTCGGTTCTGTACAAGTATGTGTGTGTGTGTGTGTGTGTGTGTGCGTGCGCGCGCGCGTTCCGCTCCTTACGCAAGCTCTTTAGCCGGTGCAACACGTCTACGCTTACCTGCCGAGGTTCCAACCCCCATCTGCCTCCTCCGCCCAGCTCCAGAACGCTGTCGCCAGGGTGGAGGAGAGGTTGGCGCAGACGCGGGCTGCGGAGGCCGAGACCCAAGTGGTGAGTTTCAATGGTGTTGTTTGGCTGAGCGATTAGCGAAGCCTATTACTCCGTCTGGTACTCCGTCTGGTCGAAAAAAACTTTGTCTGTCCGTCTGTCTGCACGTCTTCACGTTTGTCTGTCTGTCTGTCCGCACGATAACTCGAGAACGAATTGAGCGAGCGACCTGGGATTTTCAGGGTCGTTTTGTATCATCAAAAGACAGGTCGAGTTCGAAGATGAGCATTCTAGCTCAAAAATTAGATTTTAAAAAAATCAAAAACAACAGGTCCCAAAAATAATTTTTTTATGGTTTCCTAGGGGGTAACGCATCAAAGTAGCGCTCTTTGGGCCAAAATTTTGTCCGTTTTGCTCTAACTCAAACCGTTGAGGCGCTAGAGGGTATTTTTGACGAAAATAAGCGAAAAAATGTTCAACCCTGCATGCTTAGTTGAGGTGATGGGCCGTTGACGGGCCGTAGGCCCGTATTTTTGTGTACATTTTTCCACTACCCGACTCGGGTGTCAGCGCCGCAGGCCAAGGTAGATGTATGCCAGGCGCGTCGCAGCGTAACAGTTTTTCGTGAGACATCGCGAAGCCTGTTACGCGAGACGTGGTCTGGCGTACATCTACCTTGTAAGGATTAGTAACTTGTATGGAGGTGAAAGGCTAATGTCGTATGTTCTTCATCACAGATTGATCCACTCCCACTGAAGCGGCGGCGCCGCCGAGGAGGTCCAGGTCGCAGCAGCAGGCAGCTGCCCAGGAACCTGCCCAGGCCTCCTTGGTGAGTTTCCAATGGTCTAGCATGGATTGTAACTTATATGTTGGTGATTGACTAATTATGTTTTCTTGATTACAGAATGAACAACGAGGGCGCAGGCGCAGGCGACGTCGGGGCGCACAAACCCAAGGAGGGCGTGGCGGCGGGCGTGGCCAGGGAGCTCGCGGCGGTCGTGGCCAGGAAGGTCATCGTGGGTAGGGAGGACATGGCCCCTGGAGGGGACCCCCGCGCGGGCCCTGGAGGGGAAATCCAGCTGGATTTTGGAGGGGACCCCCCGGGGTTTCTGGAGGGCGCCACAACGCTTTTGAAGCGGGGGGCTGCAAAGTGGCGCGAAGGCACTTGTCCATGGACCGATTGCTGCTCAGTCATCATGCATCAAGCAGAGGAAGAGGAGGGTCTTAATGACCCCATAGATGCCATTTCTTCTCACAAAGGTCAACGACCACATACTAATATCTATGTGCTTGATGGTTTTTATTACTACAAAAACAGAGACAGAAATGCAAGTGCAAGCACGACAGAAGTACTCAAAAGCAGGCCGCCTGCCCAGGCAAAATGAAGTCAAATGTTGATGTCAAATCTGAGACTGACAGATGGCCACAACCACCCGGTAGAATCCAACGGCATTGAAATACAGGAGCTGAGAAGCAGGCTCATTGATTTATGCACGAAGCAACATAATGTGTCCATGAACTGCCTCATTACCAACTTTTGCAGAGGGTAAGTAAATGACTTTTGAGAGCTGTTTAGGTTGTACTAGGGCTACGTAACGTATCATAATAGACGATGTGACTCTGAGCGTGGCAACGTCGCAAACCTGTCTGCTAGAACCGCTGGAGACCCAGGTAGAGTACACCAAGTGACATAAAACGTATTTTTGGTCATTCTAAAGATTTTTTATTATTTTTAAATTGCTGAAAAACCTTACTTTGAACGCCGTTTAATACACGATGCAACGTTGCCAAATTGACTTTTGCCGCTGGGTCACATCGTCTATACGAACGAATGTTAGTTACTCAATATACCAAAAACATATGTTTAAGTAAAAGTTTAGGCTTCTCAAATATGACCGACATTAATCGTAGATGTTGTAGAGAAAAGTTGGACAAGTCGAATAACTAGCTTATTTCTAAAAGGCTGCATTAAACGTTACAACCAAGTTATAACTGTAACTCTTAAAATAACGTTAAGGGGGCAGACCTGTGAAAATCATTTAAAAAATTCAATTTTTTTTTATCGTTTCAAAAAATTCTTTGGTCTTTCCTCTTTCCAATGCCGAAAAGCGGATGTCGAAATTCGAAAAATTGCTCTCAGGAGAGCCAATAATGTGCTGCGGGCGGCCGGGTGGCTGGACCGCTAGGGCTCGCCTAGCCGCTCAGGACAGGACACACGCCGAGGAAGGAGTCCTCTAGAGCCCCGGAATCTCTTAGGATTAGTACAGAAAGTTGCCCCGGCTTTTACCCAAATTTAAGGTACCCAAACTCTGGGAATTTTTTTCACACACTAAAAAATAAAAATTTCAAAAACGCTTTCGTCAAACGAAAGCTACATCTTTTAAGAGTAAGTGAGCATTTTTGTCGTTGACGTAGGACCATCCGTTGTCGCGCAATCCTGCACACGGTTAGGGCCCGTAACCCTCCACTTCGAGACAAAGAAGAGCATGTTCCCGGAAAAGCAAGCAGACGTTGTATACATCAAAACGTAGCTTAATCCTTGCTCTTTCCAAATGCCGTTGTCCAGCAGAATGTTGCCTTGCAGCAGGGCGGCGTGCAGCAGGGCGTCGTGCAGCAGGACGCCGTGCAGCAGGACGTCGTGCAGCAGGGCGTCGTCCAGCAGGGCGGCGTCCAGCAGGGCGTCGTCCAGCAGGACGCCGGGCAGCAGTGCGTGGTGCAGGGTGCCGATCATCAGGTCTTCGCCCAGGAAGCCGCCGTTCAGATCGTCCAGGAGGCTGGCGTAGGGAGGATCGTCCGGGTGGCCAACACCAGCAGAGAGTTGTTGGACATGTTTGAGGATGACATTGATGATGACCTGATCCACGCCGACGGACCCCTGGATGGTGTCAGCGAAGTTCCGCCCATGTGGGGACCGGTGGCACAACATGTCCCCATGAATGGATCCACCTACGCGCAACTCCGTTAAAATGATCTC